TGATTCTAGTTGAGACTTGAGAATCTGGGGATTCATACTTGTTTTTTTTCACTGGCTATTTTTCTGGTATAATTAGAATAAAAATATTCTACATTAAATTTGGGGAAAATTCTTTTTTATTTTCATGATACATTATGAGGTAATGGCTTCTTTCCATTTAGTGGTCATGAAATCATAGCAGGTTAGACCTGGAAAAAATCTGGTCCAAACCCCAATTCACTCTCCACATCCCCATTTTAGATTATGAAAATGAAGCTGGGAGTTGTATCACCTCAGTTCATTTTATTTTTTAAAAATAGTAGTTTATTTTTTAGTAATCGCTACACCCAGTGTGGGGCTTGAACTTACAACACCCAAGACCAAGAATCACATCCTTCACCAACTTGAGCTAGCCCCTCCCTCAGTTCATTTTAGTTTAGAGGCAGTGCCAACATAAAAATATAGTTAGTTGCCTCTTACCATGTATGGTCTCATCCCTTGTAGACCTTAATGCTGTTTACTGTAAATTTTGAAAGAAGTTAGAGAAAGCCATTTCTATGGAGGAAAATGAAATGTACTTACCATAAAATTATGTGCTAGCAGGAAGTTATTACTATGCAGCTGTTGTAGTGATGACAAGCTGATACCATCCTTGAGTGACCAGAATAGCATAGTATAAAAATTGTTCTGCTTGCTACTTAAAAACATGAAAAACAACTGAATTACCAAAAAAGTATTAATTAGAATGAGCAAGTTGAAGACAGTGCCAGTTATGTTCTTTAACTATTCTTAATGCTGTTACAAAATTGCGAGAGACACACATATGCTCCACATAATTGAAAATATATATCTACGTCTATATACAGGTGCATACGTATATATGCAAAAGTGGAAAACATTAGGACACTAACCAACATAGAAACAGTATTTCAGAAAAAACAATTGATTTTCTAAAGGGTCTCCTATAGGTATTTTCTCTGGAAATAATAACCAGGATTGTAGTGGTTTAATGCTCTGAGAACCCTGAAATATTCTGGTTTTTAATTCCCTTTAGTACCAAGACACGCTCTATAGGATTTGATAAATTTAAGATTTTAGAGGACTCAGTTTATGAAAACAACCACCACTATCATTGTTTTTTTTCTTTGTTTTGTTTTGCATTTAGATGATTCAAAGACTTAATAGTAGAAGGCACAATCCCACTGAAAAGTTAGTAGAGAGTAAGCTCCCTGAGTGCAGGGCTTCTATCTGTTTTGTTCAACTGTTGAAGTTTTTAGTTTTGGACATACAGTTAGTATTCATTATTTGTTGCGTGAATAGGTGATGATAGCCACAGAATACCGCAGTATCATCTGAAATTTTGTTAAAATGGATTCTTAAGGGGCTAGAAGACACATTTCCAGCCTAGGGATAAAAAGCATCCACAAATTTTCTGTAATGAATAAGTGAAAGAGAACAATATTAAACTGTGGAGAAGGTAGAGTTGTATTCCTTATGTACCCTTACAATACCTGTGATTAACAAAATTTCAGTTGTTTATGCTTAGTAAGAGTGTTCTTAAATTCACAGAATATGGAAAACTGACTCTTAGAGTTTTCCTAGGGTTCATATTGCTATACCATATGACCATTCACATGCCCTTTTGTAGTATTCATTCATTCAATAAAACATCAGGTAGCTCTTTGTTGCCAGGTACTGTGCTGTAGAAATGGCAGTGAACATTGGGTATTCTAGTCTAATGGGTGAGACAGATGTTAAACAGATAATTACATACAGTTAGACAAGCTTACAGGACTTATTAGCAAATATGCTAAAAACGAGACTAGCCTGACAAGTCATATAAGCAAGACAGAAAAATTAAGAGAATCCTTAAAATTTGTGTTAAAGGATTTTTCAGAATCATTGAACTTTGATAAGTCCCTAAATTGCTAATACTTTATGCTTCTTTTTATGGTACTTAATAAATTATATACTGATTTATGTGAAAAGATATTTTAATTTTAGTATTTTTTAAAGTTTCTGTTTTAATTTCAATTAGGTAATATTCAGTGTTATATTACTTTTGGGTGTACAGTATATAGTGATCAACAACTCTATGCATTACCTGGTGCTAATCATGACAAGTTCAATCCTTCCATTTTAGTATTTTTATTATTGCTCATTTCAACAACCTAGATACTAATGATTACTAATGAACTATTTCTGTTGCTGTTACTTTTATTCGAAAATAATGTTTTTTTTAGTAAAGTTATTCTAAATGGTTGCTGCATTCTAAAAGTGTGTATGTGTTCTTTTAACATAATGACCAGAGGTTTTTTAAAGTTGCTTTCAGAGTTAATTTCACTTCTTACTGAATGGATTCCAGAAATCTATATCATATAGTTTTTTATTTGGAATTAAATCCTGATATTAAGTTATCACAAAAGATAGTCTGTGTTTCTCCTTTATATGAGGAGAAAGAATAATGAGTAATATTTGTAATGTATAGATGTTCTAACAGTTAAGTTTTAAATAGTAAACTATTTTTACAGTAGTCTTGAAATTTGCTAAGTAAGAAAAGCTAAAGAATATATTTCAAATTATACTTAAAATTATAGCTATGTATAATTTGCTTGGTCAGCATTATTCCTCAAATATTGCTATGTTTTTCTATATGGAAATGAGCTGAATTTTAGAAAATCTTTCCCTGTGTGCATATATTTTTGGCTGGCAAATGATTGAAATATAATGTAGAGCTCTCAGGTATATCTTAGAAGAGAAACAGGGGCTCCATTTTGTTACATTTTAGGGGAGTAAAAACATTACACAACTTGCATGGGTATTGGGTTGTGTGATTTGCTGTGGCTCTTACTACATTTTTATCCTCAATGTTTCATTTATTTATTATTTATATGACAACAACAACAAAAGTTGGAAAGGCCTTAGTTTTGTGTTATATTCTTAGAAGTAGCAAAATGTACTCAATTACCTAATGTGGGTGTTTTTCAAGACATTTGCCTCCTTCAGATCTTATTTATTCTCATGACTTGTCTATCACTTTGATGATAAAGATGGCAGAATTTCTCTTAGGTTTGTTTTATATTTTCTACCTTTACTGAGAATTTGTTCTTGGATATTTCATTGTCGACAATGTTGATTTGAACCACCATCTTAAACTTTATATTTTGTAAACAGCTTTATGGAAGTATAATTTACTTATTGTAAAAAATTACTCATTATAAATGTGCAATTCAGTGGATTCTTGTACTTCTTTGCAGTTATTCTGAATTCACACTTCTAACTCCTCACAAGCATTAATCTGTTTTCGGTAGATTTTTTACTGGTCTCTGTACTTTTACCTTTTCTGGATATTTCATGTAAATGGAATCCTACAATATATAGTCCTTTGGTTTCTTACACTCAGCGTAGTGTTTTTGAAATTCATCTATGTTGCAGCATGTATCAATATTTTATTCCTTTTTGTTGATGATTAGTATTCAGCGTATTTTATTAATATTAAATTATGAGTTAATATTCATATCGTATTGCATATACCGCATTTTCGAATTCGTTCACCAGTTGATGGACATGTAGATTGTTTCCAGTATTTGGCTACTATGAATAATGCTGCTAGGAATATCTCATACAAGACTTTGTGTGGTCATAGGTTTTCCTTTCTCTTGGAAAGGAAGGAGTGAAGTACTAAGTCATAATATATTATTTGTACACTTAAGAAAAACTGCTAATTTCTAAAGTGGCACCATTGTACACTCTCATCAGAATGTATAATGGTTCTAGTTTCTCTACATCCTCAATAAAATTTTTTATTGTTGTTCTTTTGATTATGTCCAAACTAGTGGCTGTGAAGTAGTACTTCATTGTCATTGTAATTTGGATTTTTAAAAAAGATTTTATTTATTTATTCGTGAGAGACACACAGAGAGAGGCAGAGACATAGGCAGGGGGAGAAGCAGGCTCCCTACGGGGAACCTGATGCGGGACTTGATCCCAGGACCCCGGGATCACAACCTGAGCCAGAGGCTCAACCACTGAGTTACCCAGGCACCCCTAATTTGCATTTTTCTTAAAGATTAATGTTGAGCATATTTTCATGTACTCCAACATTTTCCTCATAGGACTTGCTAAGACATTTTTATCTGTTGGTGATTTTAATTTTAATTATGTCAATGATTTGTCCTGTAAGTTCTTCTTCCCTGGCTTTAGATTTGAAAAATTGGGCATCTATCTCACACCAAGTGTTTTTGGGGACAGTTAAATTGAACATTACAAGGTGAAGTTTTGGCATCATTTTTTTTAAAGATTTTATTTATTCATAGGAGAGAGAGAGAAAGAGAGGCAGAGACACAGGCAGAGGGAAGAGGCAGGCTCCATGCAGGTAGCCCAATGTGGGACTCGATCCCCGGTCTCCAGGATCAGGCCCTGGGTTGAAGGCGGCACTAAACTGCTGACCCACCCGGGCTGCCCTATGAAATTTACCATTCTCATGGTAAACAGAATTACCACAGTGTTGTTTACTGTTCTCCACATCCTATAATTAAAAAAATAGTTTTTGAGCCTGCATTGTTTCAACCATAGCTATTAGAAATTTGTATAAAAATTTATCTTAAACTGTCCAGAATTTAAGATCAAACTTTTAAATTGAACAACCATCATTATATTATTTAAAAATAAGATATTAAAAGGTAGGTAGAACCCATACTAGACAGGAATTAGGAGATTTGACTCTTACTATGTGACTTTCCGAAAATTTATATTTTAAATACTTCTTTATCTATAAAATAAGGGAGTCAGAGGAAAAGAACACTGGCTTTAGAATGTAACAAAATTATTAGATTCTAAAGCCATGTCTAATCCTCAACCTACCATTAATACAGAGTGACCTAGCTAAATCACCTATTTTATTTTTTTATTTTATTAATTATATATGTATTTATGTATTTTTTGGGTTTTTTTGTTCTGAACAAAGTCCCAGAGCTCTGAAATCCAGGGATGCTGCGGCCCTCTCCCAGCAATGTCCTTCACTTTGGGTCAGTCTCCTGGGCCAGAGGTGAAAGTGCTTTCAAAAATACTGCCACTTCTCCAGTACAGTGTCTTTGATTGCATCCACATATTGAGTTGGGACCCAGTACACCCAGTAGTAAGAGGCTTCCGTGGGGCCCAACTGAAATGCCATCATGTGGTAGTCTTCGTGTCCTTCAATAGGTTCACTGACCACATTTTTTTAAAATAAATTTTTATTTATTTATGATAGTCACAGAGAGAGAGAGAGAGGCAGAGACACAGGCAGAGGGAGAAGCAGGCTCCATGCACCGGGAGCCGGACGTGGTACGCGATCCCGGGTCTCCAGGATCGCGCCCTGGGCCAAAGGCAGGCGCCAAACCGCTGTGCCACCCAGGGATCCCCCACTGACCACATTTTTAATGGAGCCCACGGGCAATTTCGCAGTCTGCTGTTTAGTGCCGATCCACAGCTGGTCTTGTTCTAGCTTGAAGATGAGCCTCACTTTGCCTTCAGACTTCTTGTGCATGCCAGATAAGGGTACCGTCTGCAGGCGCTCCTGGGCACCCTTAGCAGATGGCATCACATCTTCGGGTTTTCCTTTATTCAACACTTTCCTGTGTTGTTTCTGCCTGCAGAGTGGCTCCTTCTTGTTCTCTTCGGCCTTTGCATCCTGCTGGGCAGCATCTTTGGGTATGTTTACAGCCAAAACATCATTTATCGTGGAGCCAACCACCATGATCTCTGCTCCGCTGGTCACTTTTATTTCTCTCAACGTCTTATCCTCAGGGACGAGTCCCTTATACATGACTTTCTGCATGGCAGGAAGGAGACCTGTAATCGAGTGAATCTTCTGTTTCAGCTCGGAACCTGTGCTATCCAAGGGGAGCTTCACGTCGTGTTTAGTCTTGTTCCAGACGATCTTCAGGGCCACTAGCTCCCTGCCTGCGCCGCCGCCGGCGTCTTTGCTGTTGCTGACTGAGGCCTGGGCTGCAGGGTCCCCAGGAGGCTGCGCCGGGGCTGGCTGCAGGTTGCCTGGCGCCGCGCAGGAGTCCTCGGCCCGCCGCCCCCGCCGCCCGCTTCCGCCTCCACGCAGTTAAGGGGACGCGCGGGGGCCTCGGTTGCCACCACCTCAGCCTCCGTGTCCATGCCAGGTTCCTCCATGCCATCCAGAGCTCTGGACGCTGCCATGATGATTGTGTACAACACCCACCGCTCCCGCAGAGGCCTAAATCACCTATCTAAACCCCTGTTCCTTATCTGTGAAGTAGGAATAATAGTATTTATCTTATAAAATTATTGTGAATACGAATGAAATAATGCATAAAAAGCTATTAGACCAGTGCCTGGCACCAAGTAAATAATGATAACTGTTATTATACTAGATGATCTTTTATGTGCCTATAAACTTGCAGAAAAGATTTTGGATGATATGATTTCATTACTTCAGTAACTTGGGCTTTTTTGTTGGTATTTAGTGAACGATCACTTTTAGTATGACTTAAAAGAGCCTGTCTTTTTTTGAATATTATTTTCCTTGGAAAGCATTCCAGCTCTTGAAAATATCCATTCCATATCATCTTTTATTGGCCTTGCATGATTTATAAAATGAAAACAGAATAATAAAGTAATCTGTATTACTATGTTACTAGGACTATATAATAGGTTTTCTTCTTTAATTCTTAGTTTTTCTTTTTTCACTTCTCCTTTTTTCCCCCCTCACCTAATAATGTAACACTAATACTGGACTTTATGTATCATATGGCAGGAGAATTTAGTACTTGGCAGCCTATGAAGAAGATACTTTGAAACAGGAATGTCAAAATGTCACTCAAGATGTCCCACTTAGGGAGTTTTCTTCTTAACCCATGTAACTCCCTGTAGTCAGAATCATTGTTCAGAGATTGGATTTCTGTGAGATAGTAAAAGATTTAGTTTGACAGTTTCATATTTATTTAGAAAAGCTATGAAACATATGGAAGTTAGGAGTTAAAATTATGTTAACAAAGTTTTCTAGGTATTTCACTTCTTTTTTTTCTGGTGTATTACTCTAACAAGGTAAATGAATAAATCAGAATATCTAAAACCCATTTTTATTTATTTTATAGTAATAAATTTATTTTTTATTGGTGTTCAATTTGCCAACATACAGAATAACACCAGTGCTCATCTCGTCAAGTGCCCACCTCAGTGCCCGCCACCCAGTCACCCTCACCCCCCCTGCCCTCCTCCCCTTCCACCACCCCTAGTTCGTTTCCCAGAATTAGGAGTCTTCCATGTTCTGTCTCCCTTTCTGATATTTCCCACTTATTTTTTCTCCTTTCCCCTTTATTCCCTTTCACTATTATTTATATTCCCCAAATGAATGAGACCATATAATGTTTGTCCTTCTCCGATTGACTTATTTCACTCAGCATAATACCCTCCAGTTCCATCCACGTTGAAGCAAATGGTGGGTATTTGTCGTTTCTAATGCCTGAGTAATATTCCATTGTATACATAAACCACATTTTCTTTATCCATTCATCTTTTGATGGACACCGAGGCTCCTTCCACAGTTTGGCTACTGTGGACATTGCTGCTAGAAACATCGGGGTGCAGGTGTCCCGGCATTTCATTGCATCTGTATCTTTGGGGTAAATTCCCAGCAGGGCAATTGCTGGGTGGTAGGGCAGATCTATTTTTAACTCTTTGAGGAACCTCCACACAGTTTTCCAGAGGGGCTGCACCAGTTCACATTCCCACCAACAGTGCAAGAGGGTTCCCTTTTCTCCGCATCCTCTTCAACATTTGTGGTTTCCTGCCTTGTTAATTTTCCCCATTCTCACTGGTGTGAGGTGGTATCTCATTGTGGTTTTGATTTGTATTTCCCTGATGGCAAGTGATGCAGAGCATTTTCTCATGTGCTTGTTGGCCATGTCTATGTCTTCCTCTGTGAGATTTCTGTTCATGTCTTTTGCCCATTTCATGATTGGATTGTTTGTTTCTTTGCTGTTGAGTTTAATAAGTTCTTTATAGATCTTGGAAACTAGCCCTTTATCTGATACATCATTTGCAAATATCTTCTCCCATTCTGTAGGTTGTCTTTTAGTTTTGTTGATTGTGGTATTATGCATAACATAAACTTTACCATTTTAACTCTTTTTAAAGGGATGTAGTGTTTTTTTTTTTTTTTTTTAAGATTTATTTATTTCTTTGAGAAAGCGAGAATGAGCAGGAGGGGGAGAAGGAGGAAGGATCTCAAGCAGACTCCATGCTGAACATGGAGCCTGACATGGGGCTGGATCTCAGGACAATGAGATCATGACTTGAGCCAAAACCAAGAGTTGGATCCTTAACCAGCTCTGCCACCCAGGCTCCCCAAGTTTATGGTTCTTGGTATCAAGTATATTCACATTGTAGTCTATCCATCTTTAGACTTTTCTTTTTCAGTCTTCTCTAACTACAACTCTGTACCTGTTAAATACTAACAGCCCATCTCCTTCCTGTCTCATCCTAGCTTCTGGCAACCACCATTGTACGTACTTTCTCTGTGAGTTTGACTACTCTATGAATCTTAGGTAGTTGGAATCATACAATTTTGTCCTTTTGTAACTGGTTTATTTCACATAGCATATTTTTAGAATTTATCCATGTTTTAACATGGGTCAAAATTTCTTCCTTTTTAAGGCCAAATAATATTCCAGTGTGTGTATGCCACATTTGGTTTATTCATTTATACATCTATGAACACGTGAGTTGCTCCTACCTTTTGGCTACTGTGAATAATGATGCAGTGAATATGAGTGTACAAAAATTTGTTTGATTTCCTACTTTGATTATTTTTGTGTATATATGCAGGAATAGAGTTACTAGCTAATGTGGTAATTCTATATTTAACATTTTGAGGAATCCCCACCCTGTTTTTATAGTGGCTGTGCGATTTTACATTCCCACCAGCAACACACAAGAGTTGCAGTTTTTTTTACATCCTTGCCAAAACTTGCTATTTTTTTGTGGTTTTATTTATTTGTTTTGGATAATAGCCATCCTAAATAGTCATGGGTGTTAAATGGTATGTAATTGTGGTTTTGATTTGCATTTCCTTAATGACTGGTGACGTTAAGTGTCTTTTCGTGTGCTTAATGGCAGTTTGTATATCTTTGGAGAAATGTCTGTTCTAGTCCTTTGGCAATGTTTGATGAAGTACTTTTGAGGTCACATTGTTAGAGAAGTTATTAATACATGACAGTAAACTAGCTAGGATGATGCTACATGGGAATAAATTTAGTAAAGAGAAAAACCACAAGTCAGATGCAAACATTGTCAGTGGTTGTTCCTCATTGCCTCAGTTGCACTTTATCACTTTTAGGTCATGGTTTTTATTTATTTATTTGTTTTTTAAATAAAAGAGATAAATGTACTCTGTATTCAACTTAGTAATTTAGGGGAAAAGGAAACTAAGAGAGTAACAGCAGAAATAAACTATAAACTAGAAAATGATGGAGTTAATTAAGAGCTAATTTTTATTAAAAAGTTAGGAAATAAATTGATGAGAACTATACAAAGAAAAATAGAACTAGAGTTAGAATCTGAAAATATGGACTATAAAAAACAGGGATTTTTAAAAATTAGAATTTATGCTCAGATGTATGATAAATCTCAGTGTAATGATGGCTGAATTGTATGGTTGTAATCATATACAGTCCTTTTATTATAGTTGTTCAGTAGTTATTTCTTTTCAGAGAAATTGTGTTTCATTCAACTTAGTTTTTATTTATTTATTTTTTCATTCAACTTAGTTTTTAGCACAAAATTCCTCATGTGTATATGTAAGTAGACATGATACGCACACATTTGGTAAGTAAGGTTGATTCACTGTGAAGACTTAAGAGAGTAGACATATGTGGCAAAATTTTATGGAGAATAATTTCATTAGTGTTTTTCCCTAGTTAGGGTTTTCAATAAAATACTGATTTTACCGAAACTGTCAAAGCTGTATAATAAATAGGAAAATGTGAAGATGGACTAAGCTTATATGTTTGTTGAATTCTGCATTGGTATTGAATAGCTATACTCTTTAAGGCTAAATTTGAATTTAATGATGGATTTGACGTTCTTTTAAATCATGTGTCAATTAGTGTAAATTATAAAATGTAGGTTTCAGTAATATAATGAATTATACCTATGAAATAGAGTTAATGGGTAATATTTTTATTTATTTTATTTTATTTATTTTTTTGGGGGGTAATATTTTTAAATTTTATTTTATTTTTAAAGTTATTTAAGAAGTTTATTTATATAATCTCTATACCCAGTGTGGGACTCAAACTCCTGACTCTGAGATCAATAGTCGTATGCTCTATCAGCTGAGCCAGCCAGACCTCCCCAATGGATAACATTTTTATTTTTTAAAAAGGATTTATTTATTTATGTATTTTAGAATGGGTACAGGTAGAGGGGAAGGGAGAGAGTCCTAAGCAGACTCCACACTGAGTGCAGAGCCTGACTCAGGGCTCAGCCCCATGACTGAGATCACAACCTGAGCAGAAACCAAGAGTCCAATGCCTAAGTGACTCTGTCACCCAAGTGCCCCTGGATAATAACTTTTAGAGTGAGGAATTTAGTCTACAAATAAGTGGTAAAATGAAAATGAAAGGTATTGCTTTCCTTAATTTTTCTAACAGGGTCAGCATATTTCATTAGCACCTATTCAAAAGCTTGAAGAAGCTCTATATGAATATCAACCACTGCACATAGAGACATGTGGACCACAAGTTCCTGATCTTGAGATGCTAGGAAGACTTGGGTAAGTGTCCAAGAACTTCTGATTGAGGAGCTGATGCTTAGGGCTTTTCTGTTTGTACTATTTTGAATTTACTCTTTAGAAAAGTTTTAGATTTTTAATTTTAGAACTTTACTCTTTTGTGAAAAATGAATGCTTAGTACTAAGTGTACACATTTTTTTTTTTGGTATGGTTTTGTTAGTTCTTTTGAGATTAAGATTGGATTATATTCTTCTTTTAATGATGTTGTTGGTAGCCATACTGAAGTAGCTATTCATTCTCAGCTCACTGTGTAATTTTTTAGAAATAGGAGCTTAATTACTGCCAGTAAAAATACGAGAGTTGTGACCTTGCCATGAAAAAGAGTAGGTGTACTGGTTTTCTGCTGTTTATAATGTAACTATATTTATGAGAAATGAGCCACAAAATATATTTAGTCAAAAAGTATAATGTAGTATA